AAGCTCAGGTAGATGAACTATTATTAATCAGTGTGAGAAACTGGAGGTGTGGCGTGGGAGCACATGAAGACACACGGTGACACACTGATGTGTGTGCGAAATTTGTTCTCCGCATTTGACCCATCCCCTGGGGGAGCGGTGAGCTGCAGACAAGCCGCGCTCAGGAACCATTTGGTGGTTTAACCCCCCAATCCAACCCCTTAATGCTGAGTGTCAAGCAGGGAGGCATTGGGTCCCATTTTTTCAAAGTCTTTGGTCTGACCCGACCAGTAATCGAACCCTAATCTCCCAGTTTCAGGGCGGACACTCTACCACTAGGCCACTGAGCTGGTCTATTATGTTATTATTTATAATCATTGTGGCAATGTGGTTTTCGTCCTGGCCGTGGAACACTGGACCAGCTCTATACCCTTAGGGGGGTCCTGGAGAGTGCGTGGGAATTTGCCCAACCAGTCTACATGTGTTTTGTGGATTTGGAGAAGGCGTTTGACCGCGTACCTCGGGGGGCCTTGTGGGGGGTACTCCGGGAGTATGGGGTACCAGGCCCTCTGATACGGGCTGTTAGGTCCCTGTATGACCGGTGTCAGAGCTTGGTCCACATTGCCGGCAGTAAGTCGGGCTCATTCCCAGTGAGAGTTGGACTTTGCCAAGGCTGCCATTTGTCACAGATTCTGTTCATAACTTTTATGGACAGGACTTCTAGGTGCAGCCAAGGTGTGGAGGGCATCCGTTTTGGTGGCCTGAGGATCAGGTCTCTGCTTTTTGCAGATGATGTGGTCCTGTTGGCTTCATCAGACCGTGATCTTCAGCTTTCACTGGAGCGGCTCGCAGCCGAATGTGAAGCAGCTGGGATGAGAATCAGCTCCTCTAAATCTGAGACCATGGTCTTGATTCGGAAAAGGGTAGAATGCCTTCTCCGGGTCAGGGATGAGGTCCTGCCCCAAGTGGAGGAGTTTAAGTATCTCGGGGTCTTGTTCATGAGTGAGGGAAAACTGGAGCGTGAGATAGATAGGCGGATTGGTGCTGCATCTGCAGTGATGCGGGCGTTGTACCGGTCTGTCGTGGTGAAGAGAGAGTTGAGTCAGAAGGTGAAGCTCTCGATTTCAATTCAGTTCAATTCAATTCAAAGATACTTTATTAATCCCAGAGGTTACAAGCGGCCGAAATGAGTTTTCTTAGAAGAGTGGCTGGGCTCTCCCTTAGAGATAGGGTGAGAAGCTCGGTCATTCGGGAGGGGCTCGGGGTAGACCCGCTGCTCCTCCCCATCGAGAGGAGCCAGTTGAGGTGGCTCGGGCATCTGGTCAGGACACCTCCCTGGTGAGGTTTTCCAGGCACGTCCAACCGGGAGGAGACTTTAAGGTAGACCCAGGACACGGTGGAGGGACTATGTCTCTCACCTGGCCAGGGAACGCCTTGGGATTCCCCCGGAGGAGCTGGCCCAAGTGGCTGGGGAGAGGGAAGTCTGGGCCTCTCGCCTTAGGCTGCTGCCGCCGCGACCCGACTCCTGATAAGCGGATGAAAATGGATGGATGGATTCAATTAATTGAGCAGCCCTAGCTTTTACTAGTCAAGACGTGCTCTGGAAGCCCCTGGAAGCTAAACCAAGAATGTTAAATAGAGTAGAATAGAATACTTTCTTGATCCTACAGTGGGGAAAATCACTTGTTACAGCATCATAAACACTTACGAGAATAATTTGAAGATAAATAACAACAAGGTACATATATTTATATCACATAGGCAGTAATCTAGTATTGTAACCTTCCACCACTAAAAACCACAAATAAAAAATGAAAAAAACCTGGGTTCCAAGTACACCATGCAGCATACTGCAAGAGACACAGACATGCAATATAAATCCGGTATTGCAGGAGCATTGAACACATTATGAATACTGCATGACAAATGACAGTTTTATGTAGATCTGTAAGGATTTTCAATTTCTAGTGTTTCACTGTCTATTTTCTATCAGAAGATAGGTGTAGGAGACTATTTTCATGTTCAGCCTGCATGAAAAATGCAGAGCGACTAATTATAGTCAGAAATAATCATTTTCAGTCAACCACACCTTTCAAAATCCTTAATGGGGGTCCATACCCAAAGTTTGGGAACCACTGCACATAATCCTTAGTTCAGAAAAACCCTCCATTTAAAAAGTAACAACATACAGTTAAGGTGAGAATATATGTGGGCATGTCAGGTGTTTCTCCCCTCAGAGTGTATGAATCATCCTCATATGAAGCAGGTAAAATTCATTAAAGGCTCAGTTTTTTGGAACATTTGATGAAACTCAGTGTAAAACAAGACATTAGCATCATGTTAGACTTAGGTGTGTGTGTGTGTGTGTGTGTGTGTGTGTGTGTGTGTGTGTGTGTGTGTGTGTGTGTGTGTGTGTGTGTGTGTGTGTGTGTGTGTGTGTGTGTGTGTGTGTACAGAAAGTGAACAGTGTTTTTCACACTCAGCAGGAATGTTCAGGAGTTTTAAATGCGTGACAACACAGGAGGTAAACAATCATCAGGGGCTGAAGTGACTCACCGCTGCTGTAAGCATATGGAGACTCTGCTGATCCATCCTGAAGGCTGTCCAAGATTTCCCCTTTGCCCACATCGCTGTCTCCCACCAGCAGGAACTTGAGCAGGTAGTCGTAGCTTTTCACTGGGCTGCCTTGGCTGCCCATCTCTCCTGTGAGCCCAGCAGGCTGAAAGTCCACCCTTATTATATGCTCTCCTTTGGCTTTAACCTAAACAAAGCCTGTTATGCCATGAACCTTCTGGTTGTGAGTCCACCAGTTCAATCTTTGTTTTGCCCGTTTATCGGTCTACACGTTTGTTAAAAACAAGCAGCTTATGAAAACCAAATCATCCATCACATTTACAAAATAAGTGACGGTTTGGTTGAAGGCAGAGCACCCCAGATGCACCTACAAATTTAAGTTTATGTTTTTTCAGTGGTTTACTTTGATCAGAAGCACTAACTCAATCTGAATGACAAAGGGAATACAAAAAACGAGTAGAAATTGAAATATGGTAAACTGGGTGGAACTTTGCAATAACTGTATTTAGTTGCCAACAAGCTGTAGCCCGCTAACAAGAAACACAACTTGCATATTAGCTCTCACTGAGGAGAGCTTTTCTTAGCTCAACAAGCTAACCCTGACTGCGTGCTAGCGAGCTAGCCTAGCTGTTATCGCTGCTGCTTAAACTACAACAGTATTCACTGAAAATACAATGTCATACCTTTACATAAATGGCGTTACAAGGTTACTTTTACAGTATTATTAAAAAGTGTCGCTATTTCATTGGGAGCCAACGGCTATCTCAGCTGTCTGAACTTCAAACGCAGTCTGTAATTTCAGGGCCCCCTGTGTTCATTTGATGCGAATAAAAAAATCCGTAACTTGACAGCGTTTAAAGTTACCCCGATTACTCCGACATCTGCTCCAAAATCACGCAGCTGTCAGGTTCTTACGTCCAGTCCAACTGTCTGAAGTTATGTACTGTAATCTCAGCTCGCGATGTTTCCATTTCTCTCCATTATCCTCTGTCATAGTCACAGATGCTTCTCCTCAGAGCTCCACAATAACACTGGAGCTGACAGATCCGCGGCTCCCCTTCAGCCCCACTCTGTCCCGCCTACTCAGCGTGACGCCCCGCCTACTCATGAATGTGATTGGACGCAGGATTCGCGGCGCTGCACGTGGTCCCTGCCATTGGTAACCAAAACTGTCTATCACAGTCTGCTGTCAACAATGCGCAGATGGAGAGAGGAATGTGGACAACAAAGATGATCCATTCTTCGCAGAAAGCTCCAAGAACAAAGACAGATATCTTATCATGCGGATGAAAAGCATGATTAAATTAAAGCTCCATCTGAGAGGTAAAATCCGACTCTCTAAAAGGGTTTTACTCTAATCTTATTATCTAATTGTTGCTCATGAAAGAGCATCACATCATTTTCAGCATTATCATCACCAGAACATAAAATGGGCTGAAATTAGATTAAAGATCATGAAAACTGATTCTTACCTCTTTTTCTCTGCCATATAAACGGTAAGTTTTATTTAGGTGCAGACATCCAATCTCTTTATTTGATAGGACAAATAAAATAAACATACATGGTTTCTCCACTGTGTTGCAACATAAATAAGACACGATGTGATGTTCAGTAGTGTTTTCTAATCAAATCTGTTTTTATAACATCATGAGTCATCTCCCTCAGCCAGAAACACCTACACGCTAAGTGAATGAAAAATGCAAACCTGAACAGAAGCAGCTTGAACAGGCGTAAAGAGCATGAAGAGTGGTAGCAGGTCTGTTATTTCTCAGCTCTGACAAACATCAAATCAGATGTTTTTGTATGAATGTGTGTGCTTGTTCACTAAATGGGGAATCTAAAAAAAAAATCTTAAAAGTTTAAGATAGGATCAGTTAGAAGATGTTTGGTCCAGAACCAATAACTGGAGGCTTTCAGCTGAATAACACATGATGAAGGTTCATGGTTTCAAAACTAAAAATATGTTGGCCAACACATTTTAAAAATGAACGTCTTATGAAAAATCTCTAACAGTCACCCGACCCATCTTATGAGATAAATATAATTTGTTGCCATAAATTGAACAAAACATAATTTTTGTAACAAAATTAAAACAACATTCTCACAAAATGTAATCACATGAATCCAGGGAAATAAAGCTGTACAAAAGGGGAGAATAAATCCAGCCTGAAGTGTGGATTCTGATGGCTCTGCCCTATTATTATTCAGTGTGCTTGTCTAATTTACTCTTCAGGTTAGTTTAATATCATCTTAGATGGGAGAAAGCTGAATTTAACCACAGCTTTTTAATTAGGTTGTAAAATTATCTTAATTTCGGTAAATAAGTTTAATTTTGAGATGCAGACTGCATTTTCTGTTCCATTGCGCCATTGAGTATGTCCCAATAAAACTTAAAAAAATAAAAAACACCTGCAGGGACCCGCTGCTTTTGAATGAGGGCTAGTATGCATATTTAAAGATGGCGTTTATTTCTAAATAAAGGATCACATAAAACACTCTTCTGTAACAGACAGAGTAGAAATTAGTTCATCAGAGAAAAAAGGCAACAGACATAAAGCAAGAAATTAAATAAAACTGAAAATCTTCAAGATACAAATAAATATTTTAAAGGTGTTGAACACTACCTAATCATTTGTAGAGGTCTCTAGAAGGAATGAATGCCTTGTGAGTTGAACACTGGGGAAGAAATACACTGTTGCACCATTTTCAGGAACTAGAAGTGAGCCTGAACACAACTGAGCTTCAGACAGCTGGTTTTGGAGTATTGCTTCATTATATTTGGATATCTCACCTCTTATTGGCTAACAGCAATGCAACATATCACTGACTTGCAAAGTTTATGTTTTATCTCTACAAATAACACAAGCAAGGAGGAGTTCTGCTGCGTGGTGGAGTTTCTAATGCTAACAGGTAGCTTCTACTAGCCGAGACGTTCTCTGCCGTTTCCTGGATGCTAAACCAAAAACAGCCATCCCTGTCGTGAGTTGAGATGGGTGGGTCCATGAATGTTAAGTGACAGTGTGACGTAGATCTGTCAGGATTTTCTAATCCTAGAGTTTCACCGTGTATTTTCTATCAGAAGCTAATGCAGGAGATAGGTGTAGGAGACTATTTTCATGTTCACCCTGCATGAAACACTCAGTGACTATAATCAGAAATAAGATTAAAAATGTTTTTTCAGCGTTCCACACCTTTAAGACATGTAATAATAAAATTCACAAGGTTAGTTTGGTTTCAGTGTTATTAATAATTAACAAGGATAGACAAAGACCACAAATTCTGACAGATTAAGTGCAGTTAATGCATCAGTACTTGACTTTCATTTAGCAGATTCAAGGATCAGTTTGTCAAGAAGCAACAAAAACTCGACATTAAACACCCAAGAAGGCAGACCGACATTTAGATCAAAACACGTCACGGGAATTCATTTAATGGGGCTTTAAAGTAAACAACTAAGAGTTTAAAGTAAAACGCCATGAATTAATTTTAGGACATGTTTGTTACAAATAAATGTTGGATTATTTTCCACTCAGCCACAATCAGAAGTTACAAGACTCATCTCTTCTACCTCAGGTATCCAAATCCTTCAGAGAGTCTGTGTCCTACTTAAGAGCTTATTTTTAGTTTGAGAACAAACAGGAAGCATCAACATCTCTGTAGCGAGGTGAGAAAAGCCTCACGAGGCTGTTACCTACACTCGTTTGGCACTTTTGGATTGTGTGATGCTGTTTTTCTGATAAATCTGAAACCAGGCTGATACTGCTCAGCCCCGCTCCTTAGAAACAGACTGGATCTGTATTACATTCAGAAAAGTGATACTGATCGTTTTGACACTTTTCAAGAATAAAACTCATAAATATGCCTAAAAATGGCACAATATGTTTCTGATACAAACACAAAAGGGTTAAAAATAACAAGCGTAAAATCTTCAGGAAGGCTAAACAGCTTCCTGCAGCTGCTGGTTCTTTGCACTCCTTTAAACTCAGTTGGACCATCTTTTGTTTTTCAGCAGCGCAAAGAGGCAAAACATACCTTCATGCTGCTCGCTGACCAAGGAGAAGGTCATGCTGCGTCATGTGACCAGCCGTCCGCTGTCTCCGATTGGCTGAGATGAGTTAAGATGAACAAAAACGAAAAAGGCCAAGAATTCAGAAATATGGGTTTTGGTGTTTAAGAAACCTAACGGTAAAAAAAAGGTGAGATTAACTTCTGATTCATCATTTTAAGCTTTGAAAATAAAAAGACTTGGTCTGGTCCTGACTAAAGTCAAAACAGCTGATGTTTAAAATAAAACACACTAAACGAAGTTCTTTGAAAGGCTCAAATGTCCGATGTCCAGATCGAGATGGTTTTAAGACTTAGCTCGCTACAGCACCAGCATTAGGTTTTGTTTGTACAAAAGGAGCTAATTAGTTTTCAGTTCTGCATGAAGCAGTGTGTGAAAACTATTTAACTAATGAATGTTCACATTTTTGTTAGGCAGTGGAACTACGGCACCGGGAGTGTTCACATCTTATTAGCACTGCTAAAAATATTAAACCAAGTGCAGGGAAAGTCTGAGGGCACTTTCACCGATCTTACTTTCTGTTTTGGGGTTTCTGTGTTCTGACAAGCCAGACTTCACATATGTCACTCAAGCTGATCAGAAAATCTCACATTCGATGAGTCAGCAGTTTTCACTTCCTGTCACGTTCTTCCCACAGAGCATTACATTCTTTATCTCATCATATACAGCCTCCCCCCCCATCTCTCCTCCTCTCCTCCAGCTCTCAGTCCGTCTTGGTGGTTTTGTGTCTCCAGGGGTAGATCAGCTCCCCGATGAATAGTTTCTTCACCAGAGCAGCCCACGAGTCTTTGGGGTAGCAGCTGTAGGTCGGGGTCCGGTAGGTCCGAACCACAGAGCTGAACTTCAGAGGGTTAATCTGAAGAAGAACAACAGAATCTCAGTAATTTTGTTTGCATGACGAGATGCTGCAGTTCCAGGATGTGAGGTCTTACCTCCATCAGCAGGTGCAGGGCGGTACCCGGCTCTTCACACAGAACCCTGAACTTTACACCTTCTAGATTCAGAAAAAAAAAACGTATTTCTTTTACATACTGTTTTATTAATGTTTTAGTTTTTTTTGTTTTTTTACCACGTTTTCACATCATTTAAATATAAGAGATGATATTCAACATGTTTATACAATATGGTCCCCATTTCTTTATATTTTACTTCCCAGCAGCCAGACTTCTCTGTACTCTAAAGGGCTTTCAGAGTTTTTCTTTGAAAGGTGTTGCTCACTGAAAAAGAATTTAATGATTATTTCTGATTATAATTAGTCACTCTGAGTTTTTCATGCAGGCTGAACATGAAAATAGTCTCCTACACCTATCTCCTGCATTAGCTTCTGATAGATAATGGATGATGAAACTCTAGGAAGTGAAAGGCCTGACAGTTCTACATCACACTGTCACTTAACCCTTTACGCGCCAAAGTCGCTGAATTGCGACAAGCAGCAATGTTGGATTTAATAAGCCACAGCATCAGAAATGAGCCCTCATGCAGTTAATACGTTACACTGCGGGGTGGCAGACACCTGTAACTTCAGTCCAAGCAGCATTTGTGGGTGTGTTACTATTGAAACTTTTCGAGTATTTAGAACTTGAACCCCGCCCACCAGTCGCAGAGCCGCGGGGCTTGTCAGAGCAGTCAGATGAGTGAGAGCGAGAAAGTGGTAAAGGAAAAAACACAATGCCGAGAGGAATGTTCAGTGCTGATGAAGCTCTTTGTCTAGTACTGGCAGATTCGGATTCGGAGGAAGAATATTTCCTGTCCGAGGATGATCTGCCGTCTTCTAGCGAGATGGAAAGCGTGGCGTCAGCGCGCAGCAACAGAGAGTCCAGCTGACGGACTCTCTGTTGCTGCGCGCTGACGGCGTCAGCGACTACACGGTTACACAAGCAGCCCATCCAGCCCTCATCTTGTCCAATGTTCCGCGTCGGGTAAAGAGACGTGGCGGGGGGGCTCGTACCGGGTCTGATTCTTTGATCCACCATGCCTGGGGGGAGGGGGGATGTGGTGGTGGTGATCGGGCTGGTGAAAACTCAGCTGGTGATCAATTCAGCCCCTATCTATCCATCTATCTATCTATCTATCTATCTATCTATCTATCTATCATCTATCTATCTATCTATCTATCTATCTATCTATCATCTATCATCTATCTATCATCTATCTATCTATCTATCTATAACAATTATAAAAAAAATAAACCAAGAGTGAAATGTGTTCATGACACTGAAGCACCAAAAACAGTGTTCTTGTAAACATAACAAAATACCAATAGAGTAATAAATATTATATATATATATATATATATATATATATATATATATATATATATATATATATATGTGTCTACATAGGAATATGTATATATGTATCATAAACAATAACAACACTAAGAAAATAAGACAAAAACATTTAAAAAAATCTGCAAATGTGATGCAAGCCAATATGGCTGCTACCTGATGACGTCATAATATGCAAATTATGTGAGTGAATTTGTTCCTATCACAAAATTTGGCTCATACAGAAGATTTTTCTAATTTACAATATTCCTCTATCTCTAACCAGATTTAAGCTACAAGCTCTTTAAATAGTGATTTAAAAAATTCATATTTTACTGAAAAAAACTATGGCGCCTAAAGGGTTAACATTCACGGACTAGCCCATCTCGACTCACAACAGGGAAGGCTGTTGTTGATTTAGCATCCGGGAAACAGCAGAGAACAGCTGGACTAGCAGAGGCTAAAAACAGAACACTGTTTTTGGTGCTTCAGTGTCATGAACACATTTCACTCATCCTTAGCAACACACAGCAGAAGCTCCTCCAGGCTTGTGTTATTTGTGGAGATAAAACATCTACGTTGCAAAGCAAACAGGGTCAGCAGTAGAGTTGCATTAAGCCGGGCGTACACTGTGCGACTTTTTCACTTTTTTGAGCCGATTTTCCACTCGTGTGAGAATCCACGAGATCGGGGCGAGTTTTGCGCCGAGCGTCGTGTAGTGTACAGGGGGTTGCGAGAAGTGAATAACATCACGCGACCAGCTACCGATCAGCAGTCGTGAGCTCGCACAAACTTCTGGCGTGTTTGAAATTTTGCTCGTCCCTCGTGAGGGTATCGCACTGTTGAAGCGGCGCTGCGAGCAGCTGCGACCCAGAAAGTATCAGAACCGCTCACGGCACATGCGCAATCCTGCATCAACGCTGCTCGCCCGCTATTTCCCTAATAACACACGTTGTTCGTTTTTATTTCTACACGTTTTTTTTACTCACAAAGATTGTCAAGGAAGCGTGTTTGTCGTGTTCATGTCAAATTAAACTGATCACAAAACACAGATTTACTTTCTTTATTTCGTTTTCCTCATCCAACCCCCATAAATCCCTGTGTGTCCTCCTGCAGCACTCCCGAAGGACAACAGGCAAGACAAAAAAAGTCTGACGTGTTGTGTAAAAACTGCTATTTTTAGCATATTATTAGGTCCGACGTGTTGCTACCAGACGTACAGTGTGAGCAAAGTCGCAATGTAGAACTGGGTCGTACAGTGTGAGCGCATGGCTCGTGAGATCTGACCTGCAAGGAGGTCGTACAGTTTGAGCTGAAGCTGAGTGCTACAAGTGAAAAAGTCGCACAGTGTCCGCCCAGCTTTACTCTTACCCAATCAGAAGCAAGATGTCCAAATATCAGGGAATAAGACTCAAATCCTACTTTCTCCTCCACCTGGATTTCCTGTGTTGATACAGGAGTTTCTACCCCCCCCCCCCCCCCCCCCCGCAAAAAGCTAATATGAACCTGAGTTGTGTCTAGTAAACAACTGATTCTAAATTAAATCTTGAGGTTCTTTGTTACCAGCAGCTTGTCCCAAATAACATTTGATCTATTCCTTCAGCTGAGACTATGAAAAATGCCAAATATCACAATTTGACACAGAAACCTGGATTTCAGCTCCAACAAGGAGAAAACTGTGTTTGAAACAATCAGACTCATCTAAAGAAATCTGAATAGATAGCCATGTTAAAGAAATTTTGGGAAGTAAAACCTAAAGAAACTGGATCAGAACCGTGGTTTACCTGCTAGTCTGTAAGACCGACAAACACGCAGGCCGGCAGCGAACAGGGGAAAGGAGTTGATGAAGTCTACGCTGAGATGAAGAATGCCCTGAAACAGCACAATCACCAACCGCAGCTGCATGACACACATGAAAAAAAAAACAGTTAGGTTTGGGTTATTTAAACACAATCAGTCAATTTTATTTATATAGCACATTTAAAACAATCAAATATTGACCAAAGTGCTGAAAAATGATTCAAAAAGGACACAATAGCAGTAAGTAATAATAAAATCAACAATAAGACAGTGAAAACAACAATAAGAGATAATAACATGGTTAAGAACACTCAAAGGCTAAAGAAAATAGATATGTCTTCAAATTTGATTAAAAAATCCCTGTAGGAGAGTTTTTCAGCCAGGTAGATAGATTGTTCCAAAGTTTGGGGCTGCTACAGCGAACGCCCTCAAACAGAGGGACAATTAAAAGCAACTGGTTTGCTGATCTTAGACGTCCAGCGTTGTTATAACGGGAAAGGAGCTCTGATATGTATGCAGGGGCCTGGCCATTTAGGGATATTTGACTGGAACCCAGTGAAGGGACATTAAAATAGGAGTGATGTGCTCTCTTTTCTTGGTTCCAGTTATATGTCTAGCTGCTGAATTCTGCACCAGCTGCAGACACATCAGGGTATGCTGGGATAGACCAAAAAAATAGAGCATTACAATAGTCAAGATGGGAGAGGATAAGAGCTGTAGTTATGGTTTTCAGGGACATTTTAAAAAAAATACACAATTTTACTCTGCAATGGACTGGCTCTCTGTCCAGGGTGTACTCCGCCTGATTGCCCATTGACCGCTGGAGATAGGCACCAGCCCCCCCGCGACTCTACGTGGACAAGCGGGTTCAGAAAATGGATGGATGGATGGATGGATTTCACTACTAAACTTACCATATTTGTCTTTCAAATAATAATGAAGAATCAAAAATTACCCCAAGATTGTTTGCATTTTCATGTAAATGCAAGGCCAGATTTCCCAATTGACCGGTGGCTTGATTTATTATATTCGGTGACCCAAAAAGAAGAATTTTTGACTTGTCCTCATTCAACTGAAGATAACTATTGGCTAAACATTAAACAAGCATTGATTGGAGTAAGAAGAGTGTGAATTACCCAGGTTAAATGGCAGATATAATTGTGTATCATCGGCGTAACAAAAAAATGAGATGATGTGTTTTCTAAGAATAGAGTTGGGTGGAAGCAGATAGATGGTGAATAAGATAGGACCCAAGAATTAGCCTTGTGGAACTCCGCAATTTAAAGGAGCAACTGAGGAAAATTTCCCTTGAAACATAATAGAAAATGATCCATCTCATAAATAAGAGGCAAGCCAATCTAAAGCAGTGCCTCGAATTCCCACCGGATGGTTCAGACGGTTTAAAAGAATTTGTTGGTCCACAGTCTCAAAAACTGCACTCAGGTCTAAAAGTATTAAAACCGCACTATGGCCTGAGTCTAGTGTCATCAGTAAGTCATTTGTCAGACGTCTGTGCAGTGATGTGCCTTGAAGCCAGACTGAAATGTTGTACACAATTTAAAGACTCCAATATTGCTAGAAATTCCTTTGCTCTGTTATCAGGCTCGAAAATTAAAATCACCTCAAATTAAAATATGGTCAGAATTTAAAACAACACAAGTTGGCTCAATTTGGGAGAACCAGTTCATCCATCCTTCCCAGACACTGGGAGCTGGTGTCTAAGTCCAGCAGTAATCAGGTGAGAGGCGGGGGACAACCTGGACAAGTCTCCAGTCCATCACAGAGTCAAACAAGCATTCACACCTAAGGGCACTGGTTTAGTCTCCAGTCAACCTAACATGCATGTTTTTGGTCTGTGGACGGAAACCCGAGTAGCTGAAGAAAACCCACACGTGCATGGTGAGATCATGCTAACTCCACACAGAAAGGCTGCAGCTGGGGTTTGAACCTGCAACCTCCATGATGTGAGGTACCAGTGGTACCAACTGCACCACCATTAAATCCTAATCCAAAGCAGTGAAAACATAATCAGTAGCTCCTGGTTCAGAAATCTGCAGGAGGACGTTAGTTTTGTGGAATCGTCAGCTCCCAGTTTAATCCGACTGCTGAACGCATCGGCTGTTCTGGTTTAACGAGAGAACTGGATCTTAGTCGAGACCAGCTGGTGTCAAACGGGGCCAGCAGCACACAGTGACCGAACAGTGAGTGATCTGTGACCACTTTTCATTTTCATTTATTAATTTATTTATTTTTATAGAGCCATCTGCTATCGAGACTGGTCTTACCAGAGTGAAGACGAGGTAGTAGAGAGCCGTGGTGGGCAGCAGAAACAGGAGGATGGTCAAGAGCAGCGTCCCGATGAAGAGCTGGAACATAAACACTTCTGGCTTTTTTATTGTCTTCAGAATGTTTTTGTCTGTGTGTCTGTCCGCATTTCTGTCTCTTCTAGACAAATGTTCAATTTCATATAACATCGATTCACAATAACATCATCTCAGAGTAAAATGCTTTTCAATCTTCTTAGTTTCATCTCCATTGCTTGATGTTGTCTTTGAATTCTATGTTGTGATGAATTAGTGAAGACTGCTTTATTCCCTCTAGAGTTTCAAATAAATGTTCAAACCAAAGTAAACATCTTAGCCTCACATGAGACTTCAAAGATAAAAATGATCCTACTGAGTTTCTTTAGTTTTTAAAAAATAATAATAAATAGAGAAATAAGAAAGTGACACCTGGTCCAGGTCGTAGGAGCACGAGTCCACCCTCTGTCTCAGGACGTTCCACTTCTTCCCCCTGAAGAGTCTCCAGAGAGATGAGAGGCCGTAGATCTTCAGACAGTATAACCTGAAGAAGACACAAGCACACGTCTGGGCCAGTTTACCGGGTCAAAGGTGACATCACTGGTCTCTGAGTTTATGATAAAACTAAGTTTCTCCTCAGATCTGGTGATTTTTCTCACTGCAGCAGCAGCTCACTTTTATGATTTCCTCTAGAGACAGTTTCTGTTGAAACAATGAACTCTGGTGTTAAAAACCATCAGAAGTTTGTTTCTGGAGACAAAAATCTGACCACAAAACGATCCATAAAATCACACCTGAGTTTTAATCTTGTGAGAGACAGAAGCACACAAATTCAGAGGAGGAGAGAGCGACGCCTCCTCCTTCACCTCCTCCTGCTGTGATAACCGGCGTGGATATTTTTAGATTTTCTACTCACAAAGCTCCTCAAAGGATATTTAAAAGACACAATGAGCCTGATTCTGAGAGCTGGTGGAGCATAAATATGCAACAGAAAAAGTGAGAAATATTTAATTCCACCGCGGGTGAGCGAGCACCATCTTTAGATCAAATACATAATTTAATCCATCCTCCTTTATCACAGTGCTCAGGCCTTCATCACAGCCATTATCTCTTCAGACTGAAAAAGGAAAATAACCAAAAGGAACGTGTTTACCCGTAATGTGGGACACAGATTTACACATTTTACTAAATACACCTTAAAAACTATCACTGGTTTCTTTTCTAGAGAAAGACAAATGTTCTTTGGTAAATGGTGCCAAAAAAACACATAGTCGAAGTCATCTGTGGTAAAAAAAATAAATAAATAAAATCAATCAAATCAAAGATACTTTATTAATCCCAGAGGGAAATTAGAGTTTCAGTACACACAATTCAGAGATCAGACATACATGGGCAAGACACATGACAAGAATTGGCGACTGTGGTCATTCGCAACCCTGAGTCGCGCTACCTTAATAGAGATAAGAGGGTAACATGAGGATTGGTTCAGGTGGAGGGAAAAAAGGTACTTCAGAGTTACCCTCCCACCAGGAGGGCAGCTTTGCTCTGCAAAAAGCACCTTGGACAGAGATGCAACAGACTTCAGACAACACACAACATAAGTGTCCACTAGGTGGGGTGGTGGGTTGGGACTATCCACACTTCAGTTCCTGCAGCCACGATAAGCAGCGCATGTCACCTCAGTGTGGATAGGGAGAGGAGCATTGAGGGTTGGAGGGTTGCAGTGACCCTGGAACGTTTAAGCGGCCTTCCCGCAGTCCCACCCAGGCTGGGATAGGAGACAGAGTTGAGTTGCCATAGCGACGGCACATTCCACATATCTTCTGAGGGGGGAGTTTTCGTTGGAGCCTTGCAGGCTCAAGGACACCAGATTCCGATTAGAAATTGTTTTGGGGCCAGACAGAGATAATTTTCTCTCTGTCTTACAGTTTGTTAGTCCTCAACCTCCCAATAATGGACATTAATCTATCCCAATCCGTGCTGATTCGTCCACTCTCTCCTTGATGGCATCCATCTTTTGTGCCAAAGAATGAATCTCGGCCAAAGTTCCAAGCTTACGATTCATCTTGACAATTATGTGAGTCTGTGAATTTACAGCGCAGTGCAAACCATCTCTGAGCTCCGGGATCAGGCCAATATTCCTCAACAGCTTGTTAATTTTCCGATAAGCCAGGTAGCCTCCAAGGCCAATGAGCAGGAAACCCGACACCAATATCCACACATCTTCAGAGTCCTCCACAGACAGCTGAGATAAACAAATCAAGTTCCACTGTTTCTAGGAGTCCATGATGTGTCCAACTGGGTATGTCCCGGTGGGGCATCCGGAAGCCCCTTCTCCCGTTCTCATCGTTGAAAAAATGTTATCAATCGCGTTGAGAGACCAACTGACGAGATCCATTTTAGTGAATTTCAGTTTCCAGAAAAATGCAGAAGCAGCAGTGCACCCAGCACACACACCGACAGGCAATGGCCTTGAGGATAAGATATGAAGGAGAGGAGGACAAAAGCATCTGCACCCTCCAAGAGCCGGAAGAAGAACACATACACCTGTGCCCCCCCCCCCCCCCCCCCTCCAGGTGTATTTTAGGATCCCAGACTTTCCTCGAGATGTCATTTCCAGGTCAGAGGAGACACAGGTGATGAGGACACAGACATGATTTTTTATGACTGCTGTTGCTTGAGACGTAATTAGCACACAAACATCTCATCAGAGAGAGTGAACCACAAGCCGGGCCGAGGCGATTCTTCTCCAACTCTGACCCAAATATGTAAACACAACACCCAGGTCTGCAGCTGCTGCAGAAGCTGAAATAATAAAAACAATTCTGAGTCCTTCCTCTGTGTGAATGACTCAGCATTTTCTTTATTGATGTCCAATAGTCACGCTTCAGGTCTGAAACTAGTGTAGTTCTATTATTTACACAAAGAAATGTGGCAGAATCAATGGTTTATTTAAAGTTCATAACAGGAACGCTGCCCCCTGCAGGTGTTTTACTGTGGCTACCTTAATTTTCACATCTAGCCTTTGAATAGCCTGACCAGCCCGCCCCAGGCTGGAAGCGAAAGTTAAACAGGACGAGTCTGGCAGGCCGGGGCTAATGAGTAATGTGCTTCAATTTTATAAAATCTTTTTGTCAAATATTAGAAACTGAAAATGAATTAATGGCATTTAATGAGATGAACTTATCATTTTAAAGTGACATTAGCTTCATGCAAGAGTCTATATTTGCAGTGTTGCTCGCATTTTTCTAGACCTCAGCAGGTCGCTGGTGGAGGAGCACAGGTTTATAATTTCTGAATCTCAGCTTGTCCCTCCCTGATGGGTTCAGGGAGAAAGGTGTTTTATTTGCTGCAGACCTGCCTGCTGCCATTCCTGAGCAAGATCTGCATCAGTGGAGACTTGATCCCAAAGCCGGACCACCTTTAGGAGACGGCCCGGATGCTGCTGGACCTACTTCAGTCCTCTGATAATATTTTAAGTTGCCTTTTACAGTAAAGATGGAAACTAGAAATCAAAGTTGGGGTAGTTTAAGGTGTGTGAAAAAAAAGTAAAAAAAAAAGAACATATTCCAACATATTATTGTAATGATGATCAGGTCTTTTGGTGTCAGTCAGTCTGAAGTAAACGTAGAATTCCCCGAGTGTTTTAAGCCATGTTAACTTTCTGTGCTTTGCCGTCGAATAAATCTCAAGTACCTGGCTCCATAGACGTAGAAACAGTAGATGTGGAAAGTAAACAGCGCCACCATGTCAGACAGCAGCGAAAGGGCAAAGGTCAGCCCGAAGCAGGCTGACAGACCTCCGTACCACAGGATCCCCTCAATGAATGGCGCCATCAGGTGGATGTAACCTGTAAGGACAAGATGGCACGCTGAAGCCTGCAGGGGGCGTTGGTGAGGTTCTGTTCTAACTCTGCGTGGACTCACTGATCCAGAGGTGGATGTGATAAAGGAAGAAGCGGCCCAGAACCTGGTCCAGAGCCCGGTTCATCTTCAGCCCAGCTGGAGCTCCCATCAGCCACTGCAGCAGCTCCTCCAGTTGCTGAGCCACATGCTGAGAAGGAGGATTCAAAAGATAACAAAATATTATTACCGTATTTTCCGGACTATAAGCCGCTACTTTTCCCCACGCTTTGAACCATGCGGCTTATAATGAGGTGCAGCTTTACTGAAGATTTTCCTTCAACTGCCACTAGGGGGCGTTTTAGCAGAAAGTGAAACAGGTGGAAGTCAAAAGTGGAAATGGAAGAAAGTGCTCATTTTAATTTAGCACATGCAAGCAGCCGGCACGACGAAGAACTTGTTTCAAATCCATACCCCCTCATCATGGTAACTACACGTATGAGTTCATATGATGCCGCATTTAAGTTGAAGGCCATCGATCTGGCAGTAAAGGAGGGAAACAGCGTTGCCACACGTAAGCTTGGCATGAATGAATCCATGGTTCGGCGCTGCAGACGGCAGCGGGAAGAACTCATTCAAGCCAGCTTCACCCGGGGATGATGACAGCAACACGGACATCGCCACAGAAAAGGTATGTGACGAAGCTCTTCTGAGGCTGTTCAACTCCGACACTGAAGAAGAGGACTTTAATGGCTTTAGTGTGCAGGAGGAAGATGAGAGCGAATGACTTCTTCTGGTAGGCAGGTGTGTTTTATTTACTAACCAGACATGTTTTGTGTGCAGTTTTTATTTTCTAATCATCCAGGGCTTATTAATGCTGTGTCAGCGCTGTTCTTTTCTTCTAAACATGCAAATGACCGGTAATAACGTGTCAGCTCTGTTTTTATTGTATAACCATCCAGAAATATGAATGCTATCAGCGCTCTTTTCTTTTCTAAACTTGCAGGCACGTTCACCCGTGTTTAAAATTCCTTTTGTTGAATTAAAACAACGAAAAACCTCCGTGTAGCGTCTTTCTGTCTAATTATCTCATGTTATGGCCGTACATGCGCTGTGCGCTGGAGACCTGCATGTGGCTGCTGCGCCGTAGCTTGTGTTTGAGTGCAGTGTGTGTGTGTAGAAAACCGTTTTTATTGTTGGTGCGGCTTATATTGAGGTGCGCTCTATAGTCTGGAAATTACAGTAATCTGGTCTGCTGCAAATGATTCATCACTGGGTTTATTCCTGATGAGGCAGAAGAAGAGCCACCTGGAGGATTTATGTGTTTACACCCACTACCAAAATGAGGAAGGGTGTGTGTGTGTACATGCAGTATTTTGATTTAACTCTGGCCCAAATTTACCAAAGGGATGTGAATAAATGACAAGTGCAAATTAGGCTTCAGCCCTCAAGAACAGACTTCTGCACCATTTATAGATGATTAACATCCATCTAATCTAATCCATCGTCTCTTAAAGTGATGAGTTTTACAAACACATTGTCAGATGCTTTAGAATCCTGCTGCAGATACATTCAGATTAAAAACTCAATCAAAATCCTCTTAAACGGTGCACCGCTTCCTTGAGGAATGCCCATCGCATCAGACAGTGAGGAGAAAGTGGAGTCCATCGATCAGGACCGAAATCAGAAACTTGTTTATTTATTTCTTTTCTTTTCAATTATCATTATTTCCCATTAGTAAAAAAAGTAAAAGTAAGAGGGTGCAGACTGGGAATACGAAAATGTTTATTGTTTTAGAAATCCTGAACATGTTTCCTCTGGAGTGACTTTGTTCCATTTTAGTGAATCAGCAACTCACTAAAAGGACAAAAAGAAAAAACAGGTTTTACTTTGCTCTGTCACTTCTGTCCTCGCTGTGTCCATCCTTCGTTTGTGCAGCACGATCAGATTTCAATAAGTGCTGCTTGGTCTCACCTGCTTACTTCACGGGTGTTTCTGTCAACATTTAATGAGTGGTTTGCTTGAGTAGGAGAAATAAAGCAGCACCTAAAACATGTGCTGCTCCTCCTAGAAATGATGCATTAGGTGGTCATCTGCAATGGATTCGCTTTTGTAGTCGGCCTAATTAAAAACGGACGTCACAGCCAATCAATAAGATCTAACTCATAAATAACTAGAACTGCAGCTTTTACACATAATGAGCTAATCTTATGCGTTAGTAGCTGAGAGTTATTTTCCACTCGTGTTCCAAAAGTTCACACGATCTTGTGATTTGATAGGCCTTTAATTCTCTATTACTCTTCCTGCACATCACTGGTCATCAGCTAGTACTAATTACTAATGCAATTAATGAACAAACCTGATGTGTGAAAATCATGCAGATAAAAAGAACAAAACACTGTTGGTTCAGATTTCGGACGTACGTCAGCAGCAGGAACCAGGGCGTCGGCCAGCATGGAGATGTGATCGTCTCTGTAGAGCCACGACATGAGAAACACGCCAAGGGCCACGTCCACCAGAACCGACACTAGGATGTTAGCCTTCCTTCAGACAGAAATGCACAGATGTGAGAGCACGTCTGGGCAAACAGGAAGTCCAAAAACATCAACTGTGTGTGATGACTTGACCAAATGTTACGTTGTCCCATAACAGCTGTTCTGCTTCATTCTAAGACAGGTGATAAATGATAAATGGCCCGCACTTGTATAGCGCCTCTCAGAGTAAGGACTCCAAAGCGCTTTACACTACAGTGTATCATTCATCCATTCACACACACATTCACACACTGGTGGTGATGAGCTACGATGTAGCCACAGCTGCCCTGGGGCGCACTGACAGAGGCGAGGCTGTCGAGCACAGGCGCCACATGTCCCTCCGACCACCACCAGCAGGCAAGGTGGGTTAAGTGTCTTGCCCAAGGACACAACAGCAGAATTCTCTGTCCGGAGCCGGGATTGAACCTGCAACCTTCCGATTACTGGACAACCCGCTCAACCTGTTGAGCTACTGCTGAGCAGTTTGACTCTGAGGTTTACCTCATGAACTGGGTGTGACCTTCAGCTGATTTAGGCGAACTGAGCGTCCTCATGTGCTCTGTCCTGTAGCTGAGCTGGATAAAAGTGGACAGTATAGAGGACAGGAAGCAAAGCGGGAAAACACTGAAGATCCTGGACAGAAACAGAATAAAGATGCAGACTAAACAACAATGAATGTTAGTTTCTGAGATGATCTGATGATATTTGCGTATTTTGCATTTCTGCTCAGATAAAATCTAAAGATGTCAGAAAGGACTTTCTGTTGCTTTTGGACAAACTCTAGAGAAGAATAAATAAAACAACCGTTGAGGGACCCGCCACCACTTCTTCTCACCAGATGTTGCAGGTCCACGTCCACACAGAGAGCAGCCAGCTGATGAAAATGCAGAGAGGCACTGAGGCCTGTTTCATCAGCTCCACGATGATGCTGGCCTCTCTGCCTTCAGACTGCCAGTGAGTCGACTTCAGCAGCCCGTCGTCGTATTTGTCGAGGAAGAAGAGCGGCTGACTGTGCGCCACCGTCTGAAACATCTACAAAGGAGGAGAAAGAAAGGAAAAATGCAGATTTAGCACATTTTTTATTTAACAGATAAACATTCTGTAGTTCTAAACAATGAAGGTAGTTCTGAGCGGTGAGGAAACGTTGTCTCGTACCTCCCTCAGCTCAGTCGAGGGTTCACTTTTGTTCTCTGGGTTTTCATTCGCTATGGGATGAAGCTGCGACAGCATCACCTTCCTCTGCTCATAGTGAACAAAGATCACCTTCTCTTCAGCTTCCTCCTCCCCATCACATCCATCCTTGCTCTCTTTCTTTGCTTCTGCTTCGTTGCTTCGCCGAGCTGACCCTCCGGCTGGTAACAAAATAAAAGAAGCTTTTTAAATCAAACCGAAGCAGAAAAAAATAATAATTCACCCAGCTGACACAGACAAACACAATGTCTAAATGACAGACTTGATTATTTTGCCATTTAAATTTTAAACACATTTCAAAAACAGAAAAAATAAGATCGACAGGTGGAGTGGTTCGGCGTCTGCAGTGATGCGGACGCTGAGCCGATCTGTCGTGGTGAAGAGGGAGCTGAGCCAGAAAGCCAGGCTCTCGATTTACCGGTCGATCTACGTCCCAATCCTCACCTATGGTCATGAGCTTTGGGTAATGACCGAAAGAACGAGATCGCGAATACAAGCGGCCGAAATGAGTTTCCTCCGTAGGGTGGCCGGGCTCAGCCTTAGAGATAGGGTGAGGAGCTCGGATTTTCGGGAGGGGCTCGAAAGGAGCCGGTTGAGATGGTTTGGGCATCTGGTCAGGATGCCTCCTGGACGCCTCCCTGGGGAGGTGTTCCGGGCATGTCCTGCCGGCAGGAGGCCCCCGGGTCGACCCAGGACACATTGGAGAGGTTACATCTCCACTCTGGTCCGGGAACACCTTGGGGTCCTGCCGGAGGAGCTGGTGGAGAAGGCCGGGGAGAGGACGGTCTGGAGCTCCCTAGTTGGGATGCTGCCCCCGCGACCCGGACCCGGATAAGCGGAGGAAGATGACAACGACGACGAGAAAAAATAAACTGTCAACTAAATAGTAGTAGAAGTAAAAGAGGTTTTATCTGGTAAGAATAATTTAAATTATTTCAATTAAAATATTCAGATTCACATTTTGTTGTCTCAGATTCTCAAATGAGAAGTCAAAGTAAATCCAGAACGTTTGAAACATTTTTATTTCTTTCGATTTTTAACTGAAGAGAAGAAAACTAACATAAAAAAATGAAGGTGAGTAGGTTGAGTTTCTCACTCTGATCGCGGCTGAGCACCTCACAGGTGAAGCCTGTCTTTCCCATCTGACGACTGATCTGGAGCCAACGTTCCTGAGGGAAGATGGTGCTCAGGTCCCTCAGGAAGCTCTCCAATCCCTCTTGACCTTCTTTGGGTAAACTCCAGGAGCCAAGGACAGACAGCTCCACCCCGCTCTGAGCCTGCATCTGGGAGGAGATGAGAGAGGAAAGATTTGAGAGAGATTTAATTTGTTGCCAATTTAAAAACAAGAACACCATCACTTAGTGATAAAACCATTGAAAGTTCACATATTTTCTGCTGTACTAAAGTTTTCTAAATATGCAGAACAGCACAGTTGTTTTGGACCCCCAGTGACGTATGAAGGAAAGTAAGGGCTCTGCTGAGACACAAACCTGCTGGATGTACTGCTTCACCTGTCCAGGGATGAACGGGTAGTGGATGACCGCTAGAACCACAGCCGAGTCATGACCAGCGATCCAGCGGCCCACCAGCAGCCCGCTGTCAGCTCGGTTGCAGCATTGCGGGAAGAAGATCTTCAGCACCATGACTACAGTGGATCTAATGAAACATCAAGTAAAAACAAAATCAGCTTGACGTTTAATATTTACACAATAAAACTACAACTTAAATCTCAGGTTTGGTGTGTTGAAATTTAAAGATTATAGTGTAGTACAGTTCACTGTTTTGTCAACAGGATTAAGATCTGACTGTGAGAAGAAATGTGATCTCACCTGGCTTTTGATAAAGCAGCTGCTAAACTTTATACAGAAGTTATTTTAGATTTATAGATTCAGACGAATGATTTGGTCTCAGATGAGCAACACCAACAGGACAAATCACACTTTGTTGTTTGTTAGTGATTTACCACAAAACTAAACCAAACGTAGAGAAACAATACCAGAAAACTGAAGTGCATCATAGGCCAGCAGGTCATCTCAACAAAGGTTGATGTAGTGATGCAACTCAAAGTCAGATCTTAGGTTCACTTGAAATAAAATAAAATTTAAGTGCAAAAAAACTAATTATGAAAGTCTGGCTGCTTGAAATTAAAATACAGAATTGAGGACTTTGGTTCATCCTCTGTGTTTTATGTCTTTATACCGCTAAATGTAGTTGAGCCGAATGAAATTCAATTACAACGTGAACTGAGGAGACAGACGTGCGTCTACAGAAAAGAGCTGGCGGAGGAAAGACTTTGAGTTGGCCGATTTATACAATGAGTTCGGAGATCTCTGAAACCGGCTGGTCTACTTTTTGCCCTTGAAATATCGAGTCCACCCCGGTTGTTATGGCAACGCAACGAGCCCAGAGCGGAAATGTCATTGATTCCACTGACAATGATTTCGATCCAACAAGTTAGGAACAGCATGGCGATTAACTGTTGATTTAGCAGAGGAATACAAATGAAAATATATTGTAACATCATAAAAACATAAACAACTCACTCCCAAACGATTGAATCGGTCCCAATACGACGAAAAAGCGAGTTTATTTTGTCGACAGTCCGAAAATTCAACAAGGTTCACACCGAACAAACGACTCAACGCGGCCCTGTTTGAACGTCCAACATCATTATAAATGTAAGACAGAAGAGCGGTGCATACTTACCTTTTCTAACACGACTACAAACGTTCACCTTCCATCTGAACCCAAGAGTGAAGTTTCCTACGTTGAAACCATCGGTTGAAACAGCTTTCATTCACGTTGTTTACAGTCCGTCCCTCGAAGTGTTCGGTCAGAAACGCGCGTGAATGTAAGTTCCTATTAGCAACTGCTCTTTAATTAAAATAATAAATAACTAAAACTAAATGTAAAAATCGTTATTTGTGTTTTCATGAGACACCATTAATAATAAACAAGGATGTTTGGATATTTTATAATAAAAAAATAAAAAATTTCAAAATAAAAAACCCGAATCGTGCTGTGATCAGAATTCGATTTACAAATGGTTTGATTTTCGTACTAAAATAAACAGAAATCATGACAACCGTACTGTCACTGGCAAAAAATAAATAAAAATAAAAATGGCACCACAGATCTGGCACCTCCTGTAAAGGGTGCCAAAAAATCAACATTTTGCTGTCCTTGTCCCCCTGGTAAAATAAACATTGATGGATGCGTTAAATTATAGTGTTTTAGAAAACGTGTTGAATTAAAAGAGTGAGAAGTACATTTATACAATTGTGTATTGTGTCTTATGTTATACTGCACCAGTGATTCTACACTGTAATAAAGTTATTAGACAATTGACTTGGTGACGGACAGCTGTCTCCCTCTTGCAGCCATTCTCTGACACTTCAACAAACGAGCATTTTAAGTATTCCCTGCAGGACTACAGAGCCACTACCTGCATGTTTTGTTTTTCTCTACACCAACTCACCTGGTTTTAATCAACGGGTAAATAACGAGCTCATGAAGAACTTGATGACCCACCGAACAGGTGATTCAGTCTGGAGCAGGAAAACAACTAAAACATGTGGGACAGTAGCCCTCCTGGCACGGATACGCATTTTAAACTATGTCAAATCGTTTTATATGTATATACATACATATATATATATATATATATATATATATATATATATATATATATATATATATATATATATATATATATATATATATATATATATATATGTATTCTTCACCCACAATGATAAATAAATATGTCTCAGCTTCAGTTATTCTAAATGACGTTTTCGTGTCTGGGAGTAAGTCAATGTGTTGTTTTGTGGTACATACATCACATATTCGGTTTAAGAAGAAAATTACCAGAACACTAACATCTTCTCTCAGTATATCAAAAATATGATAGAAAACAAAACATCAATAGAGTGAGAGGTGGATCCAACAGACAAAGAAATAAAAGAATGTTGTGGCTCACCAGCTCAGGTCCTGCTGCTGTTCAAGAGTCTTAACTGTAAAGACATTTATCTCCCCCTGCAGTGACACAGCAAGAAAAGTGCGGGAGGAAAACACAGCTGATAAAAGAGCAATACTACTACTACTACTACTACTACTACTACTAATAATAATAATAATAATAATAATAAATTATTCCTGTTTATTTCAGGTTGTAACTTACCAATTTTTAAGCTGATTGTCTAAAAACCTATTTTAAAGAAATTCAATATTTTATTGATAGGTTTCATTTAAACCATATTGTTGCTATTTGTTGTATTTATGTGTTAATATTGTTCTGAGGTAAAAGCTTTCTCATTTTATACAGCTGCAGCGACTTATTTTTAAATGTAGTGGTCTGGTTGAGACAAAGAATTAAAAGTTAAACTGCATTACCCAGCTGCATCTGCGGCCATCGACATATGCCTGCGACTAACGGCATTGTGGGTATGCAGGAAGTAAACAAACACACGTGAAAGATGGCGGTTTCAGAGCAGAGAAAGGAGAAAAACGGGGAGGTTTTAATAGAATTTAGGGCGTCGTTTTTTGCTATGAAGCGTCTAACGTCGTTTCCGTGGACTGTGAGTATGAGACAGCACACAAAATCACTTGTGGACGTGTTTAGCTGCTGCAGGAGGAATTCCCTCACGTGAGGTAGCAAATATAAAGCTCAGTTCTGTTTCCTCCACCACAGGTGTTAGAGAATGATGAGTCAGCAGAGTTTATTTTAGATCTTCTGAAGCAGGTAAGAGGTATTCAGTCATTATTACCTAACATCCACGATTATCAAGGAATAAACAAATGTGTTATTTGTTTGACAGACGTGTCTTCATCCTTTGTGCAGGAGGTTTCCTCCCTCAGTCAGATACAGAAGGCTGTTTCTGTCTGAACTCATCAAACGGGTCGGTTCCTGCATCACTTTATTTTGATAGTTCAATTCAAAAATACTTTATTAATCTCAGAGGGAAATTGATTGCTGTAGTAGCTCAGAATAATAATAATAATCAAGTCATCAAAGAGTTGTTGTATATTACAATGGCTGTTGGCAGGAAGGATCGCCAGTAGCGGTCAGTGTTGCAGCCAAACTGAAGAAGCCTCTGACTGAAGACACTCTTCCGTTGTCGGACAGTCTTGTGAAGAGAATGCTCAGGGTTGTCCATCATTTTCTTGATTCTCTGGAGAATCCTTCTTTGCATTACCTCCTCCAGCAGTTCCGAAACTGCCGAAACTCTGGCTGAGTCCTTGAAAGGGCTTGGAGTTCCTCCATCTTGTTGGCCAGTGATCTCACATTGCCCATTATGATCGATGGAAGAGATGGTTTGAATTTCCTCTTTCTCTGTCTCCGTTTTGCTCCCACTCTGCATCCATGTGTTTTAGCTCATTTGGGATTTGTGGCTTCAGTTGAGGTATTATTTCAGCTTTTCCGATGTTAATCTGCTGCTAAAGATTGTAAACCAGCTTGTTGCCATGGTTACGCATCATAACAAATGCTCAAAAAGTGAAAAAAGCTATAAAAAAATAGCAGTACCAGAAACAGAAATGTAAAGTGTCCAAAAAATAGTTTTTTTGAGAAACTAGAAGAAAAAATGCCCAAGAAAAGGCAAAACTTACATATAGTCAACAGAGCTACTCTAACATGCAGCCACCCAGAGCAGCGCAGTTCCGAAAAAAAGTTGTTTTATAGACATTTGATGTGAATGTTATATTTAAATAATATTTTACGAGCTTTGATTAGGAGGAAACATAAAAATTACACTCTATTTACAAATTAATTTCCATTAAAGAACCAAAATTCATGATATATCGAATTTATACTTAGTTTCCTAAGTTTCAGTTTCTATTTTTAATCATTCAAAATTTTAGGATCTTAAAATTTTTAATCTGGAAAATAAAGACGGTCCTAGTTCTGATGCTGGCCTTGGAGGTGTTTATTTCTCTCGGGAGTGAAGTTTTGTGTTTTTGTTTGTGTGCAGCAGGAAGCTGCAGCCTGTGATCCTCTGGATGAGCTGTACGACGCTCTAGCCGAGGCGCTGGGAGTCGAGGAGACCCCGGAGTGCTACAAGAGCTACTTCCTGGTACTGACGCTAAAGACAAACCAGATTTTTTGTTTGAAAAGAAAATTATTCACACTTTTACAAAAGCTATAAACAAGAGTTTGTTTACAGCTGTGGAGTTACAGATGTGCCACACCCAAGAATAAACCACATAAGACAGAGAAATAAACAGAACAGTTCAGAATACACCTTTTGATTTCTTATATTTCCTTAAATAAATCTAATTAATTCTTTTCATAATTACATTGAGCTTTCTGAGATTTGACTGAGTTCAGCCCTAAATTACATTCAGAAAAGTGTTTCTGAGTTTTAAATGTGATATAATTTTTTTGTATTTTACATTTCAAAGCTCGTGTTAGCAAAAGTAAAATTTTATCAAAGTGTTGCAGAAAAACTGGAAACATTTTAAAATGACAAGAAGCAGAAAATAAAACAGGGAAAAGACAAAATAAAACTTATATAAATCTTGTAAACTACAGACTAGAATATCTAGAATATACCAACTTCATAATTCCAGGATTTATTTTCTGTATTTACTTTTATCCAGATTACCGTAATTTCCAGACTATAGAGCGCACCTCAATATAAGCCGCACCAACAAAAAAAAAGGGTTTCTACATACACACGCCGCACTCAAATACAAGCCGCAGCGCAGCAGCCACATGCAGGTCTCCGGCGCACAGCGCATGTACGGCCATAACATAAGATAATTAGACAGAAAGACGCTACACGGAGGTTTTTCCTTGTTTTAATTCAACAAAAGGAATTTTAAACACGGGTGAATGTGCCTGCAAGTTTAGAAAAGAAAACAGCCCTGATAGCATTCATATTTCTGGATGGTTATAACATAAAAACACCACTGATAGCATTCATATTTCTGGATGGTTATAACATAAAAACAGAGCTGACACGTTATTACCGGTCATTTGCATGTTTAGAAGAAAAGAACAGCGCTGACACAGCATTAATAAGCCCTGGATGTTTAGAAAATAAAAACTGCACACAAAACATGCCTGGTTAGTAAATAAAACACACCTGCCTACCAGAAGAAGTCATTCGCTCTCATCTTCCTCCTGCACACTAAAGCCATTAAAGTCCTCTTCTTCAGTGTCGGAGTTGAACAGCCTCAGAAGAGCTTCGTCACATACCTTTTCTGTGGCGATGTCCGTGTCGCTGTCATCATCCCCGGGTGAAGCTGGCTTGAATGAGTTATTCCCGCTGCCGTCTGCAGCGCCGAACCATGGATTCATTCATGCCAAGCTTACGTGCGGCAGCGCTGTTTGCCTCCTTTACTGCCAGATCGATGGCCTTCAACTTAAATGCAGCATCATATGAACTCATACGTGTAGTTTCCATGATGAGGGGGTATGGATTTGAAACAGATTCTTCATCGTGCCGGCTGCTTGCATGTGCTAAATTAAAATGAGCACTTTCTTCGATTTCCACTTTTGACTTCCACCTGTTTCACTTTCTGCTAAAGCGTCCCCTGCAGATGAAGGAAAATCTTCAGTAAAGCCGCACCTCATTATAAGCCGCATGGTTCAAAGCGTGGGGAAAAAGTAGCGGCTTATAGTCCGGAAAATACGGTAATTATTTTAAGCTGTTGATTTAGTGGACCTTTTTGTTAAAGTAAAATAAATCATTAAAAGCCCCCCGGGACCCTGACTGATGTTTGTCTTGTAAACTCGTGTTTTATTGTGGAGACAATGAGAAAAACCCGAGCCGTCTTTGGTTCTGTTGACTGTCTTGCAGCCCAGCGGAGACGCCATCAGTCTGTTGGAAAACGTGGCTCTGATCTCCGAGGGAACCACCGGACTCGTGACCTGGGAAGCTGCTCTCTACCTGACTGAGTGGGTTCTGCAGAACCAGCAGGTTTTCACCGGCAGGTACCGTCTCATCTAGATCATCCACTCAGTGGGATTGGTGATGAACCGGTCCGGTGTGACGTTGTTTCTCTCTACGGTATTTTTTATGTTTTATTATGAACAATAACTGATTATCAGTGTAGTTCTTCCTGAAGACCAGAGTTGTATTAAAGCAAGTTAAACAAAATACTAGACATGCACAGATCTGGGTTTTGTAGGCCGATGCCAAGTTTTGTAAAGCTCTGATCTGGTGTTGTTGATTTTCTTTTGATTACAGTTTATCTTAAAGTGTTATAATTAATATAACTTTTGTCATTTCTGGTTAACGTTGGTTACGTATTGTAACCCCAGATTCTATGAGTCTAGTCGCAGCCCTTAAGCGAGCTGCTATTGGAAGGATGATCTCCGCATCAGCCAATCATGAAGAGCTTCAATGTACGCCCACTAATAGTGGGCCCCCTTGTGGGTATATAAGTGGAGCGACTCCACTGTTCGCCTCCGATGGCTCTTAGACCTAACAGAACCAGTGGGGCCATTGGCTTAAGGGCTGCGACTAGACTCATAGAATCTGGGGTTACAATATGTAACCAACGTTCTATTTCGTCTAGTCTTAGCCCTTAAGTGAGCTGCTATTGGAATAATGCGCAGCTGGATGGGTTTACGCCACACTGGTTAGCTCAACCAATGAACACACCCAACATGCCTTTTAGGGAGGGGCGCTCAGCCCAGGCTCGAAGGCTGAGGCAGCCAAAAATTAGAGTGGAGCCCCCACTAAAAAATAAAATCCATAAAAGGATGAAAATCATTCAAGCAGGGCTGAAGGGATGCCATAAAGCGTTCAATCAGCCTGCTGAGGTCCAAGCACCGAACGAGTGACAGAACCTGAAGACACATCTCGTAAATAATAACGAGCAGCCTGACAAATGTCTTCCATTGACACACCACTGAGGAGCGCCATAAAAGAGGAAATCCCTCTGGCTGAGTGAGCCCTGAGTGTCTCAGGGGAATCCCGCCCTGATGATGTGTGATGAGTGAAATGGCGTCACATAGCCAGTGTGAAAGACGCTGAGTCGACAGCGCCTGCCCAAGGGAAGACTCCCTGTAGTGCACAAACAGGCTTTGTGAGCGGCGAATCCCCGAAGTGCGTGACACATATCGTGCGAGCGCGCGCACCGGGCAGAGAAGATGGGAAGCCACCTCCTCATCAGAATTATGGGGAGGAGAAAAAAGACCAGCCAATGAAAATGACCTGGATTTGAAGGAAGCCGTAATGCTTTTGGGCACAAAGGCTGGGTTGGGGCATAAAACAGCAGACCCGCCATCCTCCCGGATCCTGAGGCATGCGGGAGCCACCGAGAGGGCGGCCAGGTCGCTCACTCTCTTGACTGATGTCAGAGCCAGCAGCAAGGCCGTTTTGAGTGACAGGAACTTGAGTGAGACCTGGTCCAAAGGCTCAAATGGGGCTTTAGATATGCCGTGTAGAACCACCGTGAGGTCCCACTGGGGGAACAGCGGCCGGGACACAGGTCTGTTCCTCCTGACGCCTTTTAGAAAGCGTTTCGTGAGGGGATGACTGAAAACAGATCTATCTCCAAAGCCCTGATGACAGGATGAGATAGCTGCAGCATATGTCTTAATAGTGCTGAATGTGAGGCCTCTGTCCATCAGTATCTGCAGAAACGATAGGACATCCGCCAGCTGGCAGGAGAGCGCTTGAACATTCCGTTCTGTGCACCAGTTCTGGAAAGCTGCCCATTTAGCAGCGTAAGATGCTACGGTAGAGGGCGCTCGTGCACTCTGAATCATGGCCACCACATCATGCGGCAGCCCAGAAGCCTCTAAGCGTGACCGTTCAGCGGCCAAACCCAAAGCCTCTGGCCTATTTCGGGAGGATGTCTGATTTTTCCATCCGCCTGGAGAAGGGCATCCTCCCTCCATGGCAGCCTCCACGGGGAGCCAGACACTAACGCTTGTAGGTCCGGAAACCATGACGCAGACAGACGTCTGGGAGCCACCAGAATCACCGAAAGCTGTTCTGACCGAACTCGGTCCAGGAGCCGGGGAATCAGAGGGACTGGCGGAAATGCATAGAGGAGTGTTCGAGGCCAGGGCTGGTGTGAGAAGGCGTCCGCCCCGAGTGGGGGTCGGTCCTGGGGGCTCAGGGAAAACCACAGGCGACACTGAGCGTTTTCTCGAGCCGCAAACAGATCCACAGAATGTACCCCGAACCTGGTCCAGATCAGCGACACCAGCGCAGGATGCAGACGCCAGTCGGAGTCGCGGGATCCCCCTCTCGACAGGATGTCTGCTGCTACATACAGGACCCCTGGGATGTAGGTGGCCTTGATGGACAGCAGGTGGACATGTGCCCAACACAGTAAATCTGTGGCTACACGCAGCAAAGGGAGAGACCGAACTCCCCCTTGGCGATTTATGTAGGCTGCCGCCACCCGATTGTCCGTGTGAACTTCGACATGACGGCCCTCGAGAAGGGAAGCGAAGTGTCTGACCACCTTCCACACTGTCATCAGCTCCAACACATTTATGTGTTCATGCATGTGGGAGGGCCAGCGATCTGCCACCGTATGGGACAAGCACGTGCCCCCCCACCCCAACAGCGACGCATCCGTAAACACAGCCACGTGAGATGCAGGGCGTCCAATGGGAACTCCGTGTGAAAGGGTGCAGGGGTTCCCCCAGTGAGCGAGGTCCCCGCCCACTGAGGGGGGAACCCTCAACATACATGCCTTCTGACGTATTGGGTGCACCCGGAGGCGGATAAACCAACGTTGCAGGCGCCTCGTGTGCAGCAACCCTAGCGGCACCACAGAGTGGGCTGCAGCCATCATGCCCAGAAGTTTCATGATTAACAGGGCCCTCACGATCCTGCGGGGTTGCACGCGGGAGATCACCGCGATGAGATCTGCCGCTCTCACTGGTGACAAACGCGCTCTCATCAGGGAGGCGTTCAGCTCCACCCCGAGAAACACAATCGACTGGGACGAAAGGATGGAGCTCTTCTCCCAGTTTATAGAAAACCCCAGGGTTGACAGATGCTCTGTTAACTTCCTGGTCTGTTCCGACGCCTCGTCCTCGGACCGAGCGCACAGGAGCAGGTCGTCCAGGTAGAATAAAACTCTCATTCCCGCCGTGCGCAGCGGCTGCAGCGCGGTCTCCAGACATTTGGAGAAAGTGCGCGGGGCTAGCGAGTAGCCGAAAGGGAGGCGATTGAATTGGTATTGAACTCCCTTGAATGAGAAGCGCAGGAACTTCCGGTGCCTGGGAATTACCGGGATGTGGAAGTATGCGTCTTTCAGGTCTATTGACGTGAACCAGTCTCCGGAACGCACGTATTCCAGGACTTGCCTCATTGTCAACATGCGGAAATGCATCACTGCTATGGAGCAGTTGAACAGGGAAAGATCTAGAATTGGTCTCATTCCTCCCGACTTCTTCGGTACCACGAAGTAGCGGGAGTAGAAACCCGAGAGTTCTTGTCCGCGAGGGACTCGGGAAATAACGTCCTTGGACAGAAGTTCCCGCAGCTCCAGCTCCAGGGTCTGAGACTGAACTCGTGATGTGAACGTCGTCTCCACGATCCCGTTGAAGGGAGGAGGAGCGGCCTGAAAATGGAGTGCGTGACCGTAATGAATGGTCTCCAACATCCATTTGCTCATGGCACAAAGGCGGCGCCATTCGCGCGCACGTTCCGACAGCGGACGCGTGTTCGTGGTCACGTGAGTAATGTCTGAAGACTGAGTATGCGCCCTTAACGCCGTCGCTCGCCCCAGAAGACTGGGGGCGACCCATGGAGGGCTGTGCTCGAAAGGGCGAGTGTGAACCAGCTGGAAGAGGCTGATCCTCACCGCGGGGTGTGGAGACCAAAGGAGCAGGGCATGTGAAAGCCGAGACCATACACGGGGACGGCAAAGTGCCCGCGGACGGAGCCACGTACTGTGCCGCCGCGCGTGACCGCGGCCTCGTCATGACGTCCCGTCCCACCCAGCGTTGTGGGGGGGACGGGCTGGGCCTGGCCGGAGGCCGGGGCCGGTGCGCGAATGGAGCGCACCTTTACAGCCGGCCGTGAGACATGACTGATTGCGGGAATACGTATATGTGCCGCAGTGCTTGATGTGGGGAACGTGTGTGAAGAGCAGGCAGAGGACTGCAGAGGACTGTAGGATTGAGCTCTTTAAGTGACGTTTTTTGGGTTTTATTTCAAAACCAACATCAACATTAACAGCAGCATCAACAGCATTACACTCATGAACACACACATTCCCCCCAAGGAGTCATTTCCGTGGCTGCTTCCGGCAAGGCTCCTGCGCCTGCCACTGCCACGACGGCGTCTGCTGGCTCCGTCGAACCCGTTGGCCGCCAACTCGCTGGTCTCGCTGAGGTGGAGCCGAAGCGGGGGGCCGGCTCCGTGGAGCGGGCGGCGCAGCTGGGCGCCTGAAGTTCCCACGCCGTTCGTCCCATCCTCTGGCGGAACGGCCGGATTGCGAGGCTGACCGAGGGTGGACCAAGTCTCGCACCGTAGCTGAAAGTTCAGCTGCAGGGTATCCGCGGGTCCTTAAAAAGTCTTAAAAAGTCTTAAATTTGCTTTTCCAAATTTAAGACCTTAAAAATCCTTAAAAATGACAAATAATCCTTAAATACAGTTTCCAAAGGTCTTAAATTAACAAAGACGCAATAAACTAGATTCTTTTATTTCTATTAAAATTTTGCGAATTCCTAGTTCAGCATTTTTTCTGTATGATGTTGGCGTAAGCGGAACCATACACATTCAGCTGGTTGTGAAAGGGGGCTGTTTTTAGATGAGCACATTAGCTGGTTAAGCTAGTGGGAGCTTGTGCCATGGGGAAGCGCAAGTTTAATGGTAACTGGATGGCTATTCCCACGTCTGCGACGTGGTTAGCATCGGTTCCAGGCAATAGCTGGAAATTGTAGCTTAAATTTAATTTTTAAAAATTGCTTAAATTTGGTCAAAGTGGCCTTAAAAAAGGTCTTAAAAAGTCTTAAATTTGGTTCCTGTAAACCTGCAGATACCCTGAGCTGTCTTCTGAGCCCTCTCGATGACGCCCCTAAGATGGGGACCGAACAAAACGTCAGAGGTGATGGGGCCTTCCAGCATCTCTCTGTGCTGGTGATCAGGAATGGAGGGCAGGGCCTTGAGCCACAGGGCCCGCTGGATGAGGGTCTGCCAGGCAGCAATGCGAGCAGAACCGGTGAGCACAGCAGCACATAGATTGAGGATAGCATCAGTAGTTTTAATGATGGCGGTCTTCGACTCGTCGGGAGCGTCCAGCTCCTCCATCATCTTTGAAACGTCGAAGGCGAGAAGGGCGATGTTATTCCCTGCAGCGCCGGTCTGAAAGGCACACTGGTGTGCTTGGTCGGTGAGCCGCGTCAGCAGCTGGTCATGTTTCGAAGCGGGAACTGCTCGCGGGCCAGCGAGGTGGTTCTTGGCGCCAAACAGCGAGGCCAAGTCCGGCTCGAGTGGAGGAACGGACGGCCAGCCCTGGTCGGAGAAGCCCTCGACCTTGGTGAAGGGCGCGTAGGTGGAAACTGGCACCTTGAGCTTTGCAGGCTCGGTGACGGCGGCGGACCAGCAGCCCATAGCAGCGGGGAAGCGAGGCCAGATAGGGTCTGGACAGCGCGTCTGAGTTGTCCCGAAAATTCCCGCCAAGTCATCCGCTTCGGGCGGGGGCGGTTCTGGAACGGCTAGCCCCTTGCGGACCGCAGCCGCGGAGATGATGGCGGGCAGCTCCTGGAGCAGTGCTCTTACTGCTGGTAGGGAGGAGCGAGAAGCCGCTGGGGCAGGAAGACCCGCTGAGCCAGGCTCGTCGACCTCAGTGTTGTCTAGGAGGGAGGAATGGCTAAGGCGGCTAGCCTCGTCGTAGTCCTCGCTGTCTGTGACGTCATCCAGCCGGTTGAAGCCAGCCAGCTTTTTTAGTGCATCTTTACCAAAAGCATCTGTAGGAGCTACAGCCAGAACCCCACTAGAAGTCAGAATACTTTAGCTGTTTCTGGATCCGTTTTTAGCTTCTCTAATCGTATTAAACAGTTTCAAGATCCCTTCAAACCCAGTTCAGCAGAAATCTGCATCAGAACTGAGCAACTTATGCTGAACTGGATGTTTGAAATGCTGAGAGATCATTTTAGAACCTGTGGTCTGAAAACTTAACCAGTCTTTGACCAGGACCAACCAATAACCCAGTTCTCCTCCTGCAGGTCGGTTTTGGAGCTCGGCAGCGGTGTTGGCTTGACGGGCATTGGCATCTGTCGCTCTTGCAGCCCAAATAGATTTATATTCAGTGACTGTCACGCTTCGGTTCTGCAAAAACTCAGAGAAAATGTACAGCTGAACGGACTGAGCGAGCAGACGTCTCCCTCCGTCAGAGTGGATGAGCTGGACTGGACGACGGCGTCAGATGAGACGATCAGAGACATCGGGTGTGACACCGTCATCGCTGCAGGTCTCAAATCATCCCAAACTCCTCAAACGTTCTTTGATTCTCGGGTTCAGACCAACAGTCTCACGAATCATCGGCAAAGTGTGTGACAGGTTTGTTCTGTGACTTTCTCAGACGTGGTGTATGATCCCGACGTGGCAGGAAGTCTAGTGAAGCTGCTGGTGAAGATCCTAAACTGTTCATCAGCTGAGAGGAAACTGGAGATCTTTATCTGCTCCACTGTGAGAAACCCAGAAACGTATGACGGCTTCAAATGGCAGCTTGGTAAGAATCCACCCACAGGTGTTTTTCAGACAAACGGGAACGCTGCTGGATCCACGTCATGACCTGGCTCATTGGACCACAACGTAAAATATAGACTGAAGACAATGTTTGGAGTTTAGGAGCACTTTTATGAAAACAACCTTTTAAAACCTGAGATTAGTGCGACCGAAGCACGCGCTACAGATGCGCCTGTGTCAGGAAGTACAAGCCAGCTGCAGCACTGATTTATCTCTGCAAATAACACAAGCCTAGAGGAGTTCTGGGTGATTCGCTAACGCAAACGGTTAGCTTCTACTAGCCGAGACGTCCTCTGCTGACTCGGGATGCTAAAACGACGACGGTCTTCACCGTCATGAGTAAGTGGATGAGTCCAAGTGACCGCTTGACGTAGATGTGTCAGGATTTTCAGATATTAGTTTCACCAGAAGCTAATGCAGGAGATGGGTGTAGGAGACCGTTTTCATGTTCAGCCTGCATGAAAAACTCAGGAGTGGCTGATTATAATCAGAAATAATGAAATGTTTTTTGAATCACGCATTTAATGTTGTTGCTAATCAGCTGTAAACACTTAATCAGCAGTAGCAAAGGACGGCTTGTGTCTGCTTCAGCGAGTGAACGATATCGTCGTGCTGTTCTACAAACACGTTTTAAAGCTTTCCAAAGCTTTTGTAAAGTGATTATACAGATGCAAACATCATTTGTAGAATTAGTCGGATTTTGAAGTGGTAACAATTAGGGGTGTCTCGATCAGGTTTTTTTGCGGAGTCCGAGTCATTTCATTTTGAGAATCTGCCGATACCGAGTCCCGATCCGATACTTTTGATACATAAAAAAAGAAAAGGAAGAAACTGTTCCAGGATGTTCCTTATGTTTTATTTAATTACCTTTTTATTTTAATTTTTAACAGCAGATCACTTCTGTGAGGTAGCTTGAACAATCAAGTATTAAATAACATAAATTCTTCACTTTGGGACTTTATTGCAAATATAAAAAGTCTAATATAAAAACAGACAGCACTTCAACTTAAAATACCTGGCAGGGGTCTATTTTGCCTCGGCCCCCAAAATGCTTAGATACGCCCCTGGGCATGGGACGGAGTTTTGAAGATGATCTGAATTGTATCAACTATATAAATACTACCTGCTGATAAATTATTGCTTTATACAGGTACAAACGTGTAGTGGGATCAATCTACCTACATTTTGTTTATTTAAGAACTTTGTTTTGTTTTCTTGGTTTTTATTTTCCTCTCTTCCTGTCCTGTCTGTCTCTGATCTTCCTGCATCTCCCAGTCCTCCAGAAAAACTCCTGCCTGCTTCCTTCTTTTTCACCTCACAAGTAACTTTTTAACCAGCAGATCAAATTGATCTGTTGCAGTGGCGGCTCCAGAAATGTTTTTCTGCAGGTGCTATGAAGGAGCTAGTCTTTTTATTGAGGGTGCTATGAAGGAAGTGGTCATGCGTACCAACTGTTCTCTAAAACACCTTCAACACTAGCAGATACACATGCGTGCACAACACCTCAACAACACCTGAAACAATCATTAATGTACATCATAAACATCTGAACAATCGCTGACTTTTCCATGAAATCATAAACACATACAGACACACAGAAAACCTTCTATAGTGTTGCAAGGTTAGCTAACGTTAGCGTTAGCATTTCCAGCGGCAAAACCCTAGACTGCTGCGGCGGTTGAGGGTTGACTCTCTTCATCCAGATCTGTAGGTTTTTGTGGGTCTGAGATCACTTCCAAAGATTCATTCGTTTCTGACTGAACCCGTGGAAATGTGGGCAACAAAACCCGATCCATTTTACCACTAGCTCCACCTTTCACTCGTTCGCAGGTAGAAAATGAGGTCAAAGGTTAATGTCAATTTCCTGTTTTGGTTTAAGTTTTTACTATCTATATGATAATTTACTGATTATTTTTGTTTTGTATGCTAAATATTATCACATCCACACGTTCAATTGAAATTAAATTGTAAAAAAAAAAAAATCTAATATTTACTTGGGGGTGCAATGACTAATCCAGGGGTAGCTATAGCGCCCCCCTAGCGCCGCCACTGATCTATTGACTGCAAAAAAAGCAGAGTGCGCGGCGCGCTGCCCGGCATGCACCAGTGACGAGCGCTGCAGCGCGTCCACACGTCATGCTTAAATACAGACAGAACTTACCAGAGAGAAAATGAACGGACACGAATGACTGTGTGTTAATTATATATTTTTTGGTGACGCCACTTAGAAACTTAGAAAATGTTACTGTGGCCGTGTGCAGAACGCAGCTGGAGTTCATGAATAATCAGCGGTCTGCCTGCTGCTCTGCCCAAAAGAACCCCCGCTATGCTGAGTCCATATAAATAATATAATCTAGGTAGAAACTGGATCTCTTTTGTGCTCCTTCTGGGTGTGTAAGTTAAGGGCATCAAGGGAGCCTGACAACCTTTAAGGAGAACCAAGTTGCTCTCCTGTAATTTGAACCCAGTATCCAACTCCGGATCGGGAAGTAAAGCCCGAGTCCCGATCAGTCTGAAACCACGTGATCGGGCCGATTTCCGATCATGTGATCGGATCGGGACACCCCTAGAAATTCTCCCCAAAACCAAGATCTGGTTTCTTCATGTCCTGGGATCTTTTTCTAGCTCGTACATGACTCTTTGCATTTCCGCTCTGATCCCCCTTATTCACCACGATCAGCTGATCGATAGTTAGGCAGGAATCTATCAGTCCACAGCGGCTCAAATCCACTCTGGTTTCCTATAAAATGATCAGCGTGACTCTTGTTTATTTTACAGAAACTGCAGGAATCAGCCACCGTGTGATGAGTGAACCCGTTCCAAACGTGTTTCCCTACGACAGACTCGCTCCTATAGAACTGATCAAATTGTTCAGGTGAGAAAATGCAGCAGAATAAAGATTTTATTCACAAATATACAAAAAACCCTCTTTTATACATTATAGAAAGTCAGTGGAATGAAACAGTCTTTAATTCCCCTCTCAGGGTTCAGGAAGGCTGAGAGATCTCAGCAGAGGCAGAACAGTCTGGTCCCAGTTATCATCCCAGCACTGGTCCCTGCTGCTGCAGAGCTTTGCCCTGAAAGCTCCCAGTTTACCATCCAAACTGGGAAAGCCTGACAGGAGAGACTGGAAACGAGAACATTTGAGACTTTAAAAATGAATCTGGGGTCAACTCCGCTGCCTCCTGAGTGTCCGATGAACAGAATGAAACCAGGAAGAGTCTAATTTTGTCTCAAGTTTAACTTATTATAATGTTCATCGATTCCTGTGACTCAGGCTGCAGCACAGACCATCAGACTCTGGGACGGGACAGGAAGAATGGTTGGGACAAAAATCTGAATCAAAAGGTGAGACGAGGACGACTCTGTTGGGACACTTTTACAGGAAGAACTGGATTAAAACCCCTGAAACTCTTGTTTCCTGGATCTTAGCGTGTCTGAGAAGGAATGGATGAGTTGCCGAACTTTACTGAATGATCAGACTTTTACTGGAACGTGTTTCAGCCTGAACTGCAGGAATGGATGGAAGTGGTTAAACTAAATGGAGGTGATCGTTGCTCCTGCTGCTCTCACCTTTAGCTGTTCAGCAAGCTCCGCCGAGTCTCTGAAGATCAGTCCGTTCTCATCGTGCTTCACTAGCTCGGGTAAACTGGAGAGAAAAGTGACATCAGCTGAACATCTGGAGCAGAGCAGAGAGGATGCAGCTGCTTTCAGATTTCAGCCTGAGGGTAATTATAGGAGACCCTCAGCTCTAACAGCTCAGCAGATGGACGTGCAGATGTCTGAGCATGGACTAGAGGTCCAGGAACAGGTCAGTGGGATTCTCACCTGTTAAAGCTGATCGCACAAACAGGAAGGCAGCAGCCAAACATGTCCACCACCTTCATGGGAAGGTCCAAACCGCTCGACGACTTGTGGAGACAAACTCCTAAATCTGAAGAACCTGCATGAGTCAAAGAAAGGAAAACACAAAATGACTGTTTTCCATTTTCTATGACCCAACCGAACTACAGAGGGACACCAGTGATGTCATCTGAAGCAAACCTAATAGGAGTGGATAATCCTCAGCCTCCAACCAGGGGGTGCAGATCTTCACATGATCCAAGTGCAGAGAGTCTATGAGCTTCCTGTAGTGTTCCTTCTGAGGACCCTTACCTGCAAAAACACTTGATTTATTACGGTTTAACAGGATGTCTGTAGCAGTTTCAGAGGAAACAAAATCAGTTCTGGACATTTTCTTGCACCTAGAACTGGAACCCAGGAGAGGCCAGAAGCTCGGGTCGGGTGTTTACCTGTGATCACACAGACCAACGACGGCAACAAAGACCCTCCTCTGATGTAACCTTCGTATTCTGCTGAGAACAAACAGATCAGCAGTGGGAACAGATGAAACATGGTTTGGTGTCAGTGAAAATGCTGTCAGACCTTCTAGAGCCTTAAGCAGGATGGAGAAGTCTTCGTCCTCTGTGGAGAAAAAAACATGTTGAATTAAACCAGAGCAGCGGTGAGAGCTCTGCACGGTGGCATAAACCTTAAATCATCAGGAGGATCTGATGAGGGAAACACAAGCAGACAGAAGTTGTTCTGCTGTTTTGATTGAAGGAGTAAGGAAGCAGGGTCCGACCCGTCCAGCTGGTGCTGCTGACCAGCAGCGCCGGGCGATCCCTCCACAGAGTCACAGAACCGTCGTTCGGACTACAGACTGTAAAGACGGTCGCCTCTGCTTTTGTTTCCTCGCCGACGGACCTGAGAACAGATCAGAGGATCTGGTTTCAGTCACTGAAAAAAACACAGCTGAGCAGAAATCCACCAGAACGAATGAAACATTGAAGCTGAAACGCTCGAGCAGGAACCAGATAAAAGTGAAACGGGCCACAAAACAAACCTGAGATCAATACCATCATGTCAGTTATTTAACAGGAACTAAACCAAAATACAGAAACTGTAAATAACAGTGTTGAACGCAGCAGGAGACTAGGCCTTGGCTACACTTCTGTTTCAGTCCTTGTATCAAAAATGTTTTGGAGGGCTTTTTTTGTGTGTGTGTGTGTGTGTGTGTGTGTGTGTGTGCTAAACCGGTTGAAAAAGGCTCCTAAACACCTGTGAGGGTCCACGTATCTCACCCTGGGTGCTGGAACTCAGGATAAGTGTTGGCGAGTCTACAGAAGAGCTCATGCTGCAGATTCAGAGAAGTCTTTCCAAAGACGGAGGCGGGTCGGTCATGGAGAGTCGTCGCCCTGCCAAAACAAACACGTTATCTGATCTGATGTTTGACCTCACAGGTCCCAGGTGTGTAACGCCAGCTACTGAAGTGATCTCTAAAGCAAACATGACATATTTGCTACATTATCTGTGCTGATATTAAAACATGATCTGTAAAAAGTGGTTTTATTTTTCTGATGTTGTAACTGGAGCAGAAAAGGCGACTCAAATCTCACTCGATGCCCCAGTTTTTCTGTAAATCATTCTTCATGGCATTTGTGACACACAGGTTGAGGGTGGAGAGACGCCCAAAGAGGTGCTCGTACCTGGAGGGTGAGACATGTATGGAAACAACTCAATTCATTCATCTTCCACCCATTCCTGGATCTACGTCATCAAGTGAAACCAGATCCTCTGTGAAACTGGTACCGACCACTTGGCCAAGCGGACCACCGGATGCGCCGCTCCAAGGCTCAGAGCCATGATGGTGTAGCCGTAGTTGTGCCAGTCGATGATGAACGTGGTGCCACGCAGGGCGCACACGAGCCACGCCACAGCTATACCGGGCAGCCCAGGAGGATTCTGGGATACAAAACACAGAAGATGGAAACCTATCATTGATGCAGCGAAGCTAACTGAACCGTCCTGAACAAACCTGCATCAGAAGATGAGCCTGCAGCTTCATCGTCAGCAGCAGGCGAAGAAGCTGCAATGACTGAACCACCACCTTCACCGCATACGTCAAGAGCTTCGGTCCAGCTGGAAAAGCAGCAGAGTTTTGTCTCCATGTGTCTTAGAAGTTATGCTCCAGAAAAATCCAAATTCTGTTTTACCTTGAAGTCCTTTTACTTCTGAGATCGCCACAATTTGAATTTTCTTTCTATCGAGTACACCCTGGTGAGGTCTGGAACCTGGAAAAAAGATTATTTTTTCACAATAAGAGACTAAATGAAACTTTCAAAGAAAATCTCATAATTTAAGAGTTAGCATCTTTTCCGTGTTAAATCTTTTTAAATTAACCTGCGTTTTTCTTTTAATGTGATCGGAACAGCAGGAAGTTTTTTTTTTGCCTATTCAAGTTATATGTATGTTTTCAGCAGTTTTTTTTTAGTCCTTTTGTTTTTTCTGACATATATGAAGTTATTTTGATGTCTTTATGTGGTTTATTGGCTCATCTTCAGTGTTTTGATTCTGTGAGATTACTTTTCCTCCGTGGTAATTTAGCACCTCCCACAACTCATCTGCCAAAAAACTAAGATTTTACGACATCTTTGAGAAAAACTGCAGTAAAAAAGGCTGTACGGCTCCTGGAATTCACCAAATGTTAAGACATCAATAAAGCTACACTTATAACAGAAATAAACTTCTAAATTATAATTTCTATAAGCACTTTATTTCATTAGGCCATAAAAAACTTGTATCTGACTTTTTTTTTCATTCACTCCTACACCTTTTCAGCCAAACTGCCTTTATTTAGTTTTATGCTTGTTTTTGCTGTTGTCTAGCCGCCATGGTCTTTATGGTGTGTAGTGCTACCTTTCTTGATCTCAGTGGGTTTTATCTGGGTTGCAGGGCCCTTCTCTGTGGGGGGTCATTTCCCCTTTGGTGCTATTTTGTCTCACTGGTTGGGTTCGTTTGGATGTTTTTAGTTGCTTATTTTCATTTGATACCTTTAGGGATCAGTTTCTGTAATTGTTGGAAACAGTTATATTCCAGTAGTGTGGTGTTACCCTAGGTGGGATGTTGTCATTAGACAAAATTTGTTTAACACTTTACTTACATTAAATCATGTTAATTCCCATAACATTTGCCTCTTTTTTAGTCATCTTGTTTAGTCATAGTTTGAGACAGATTATCTTTGTTTTCGGACATTTTTCACCTCCCACTGACAGTTTGGATTTTGGTCATATTTGTTCACTTCCTGTCAGCAGCGATAGAAGAGCTTTAAAGCTGACACACCAACTAGTTTCTGCGCTTTGGACTCTCACCTAAAAACCCCACCAAGGTAACCTGGTATCCGTGCTTGCTGAGGGACAAAGCGTGATACTGCATCCGAGGACTGCGGCCGATGTCCCCCAACACCAGCACACACACCCGCTGGTGAGTCCCGCCATCCCGCCGCCGCAGCCAGCCCCAACATAGCCACAGCACCGCGGCCACGGTCACGTACATAACCGGGAGCGTTACATCCAAGCCTGCTAGAAAACACGAAACTAGAAGAACCAGACAGGTGGAAATAATAACCAAAGACCCCCGATATTCCATGTTTGTTTGGGATGGTGACGTAAGACGACAGGACTTCCGCCTTTTTCTTCTTCGACGTCTAATGGCGATTGGTATACAACGGAATGGCTCATTACTGCCCCCAACTGGAGATAATCAGATGTCACGGATTTGATCCGTAGGAATGTGTCCGTTTTAGGAAAATAAAATAATTAGCTGATTTAAAAATTGCACCAAAGTTTGATTTAAATATGCACTTCGCTATATTAAAGGAAATGAGAACATCATGAGAGCCAACTGACTGGGTAGAAACTATCAATGACCGTAGAACAACATTTCCATTCAATTTGGGGTGTGTGGTGGTGAAGAAATCGCTCAGCTACTGCGTAATAAACATTATGAACCACAGAAATGTGTAAAGAGCACAGAACATGAATAATGTAGAGTTTGATGATGATGTTAATGGTACCTCTGCAGAAATCTGTGAAGATGGTAAATTCACCACACCCTCTTACTGCTGCCATTGTTCAAGTCCGCCTGGTCATGTTTGTCTTTTTCTTTCAATAAATATGTCACAAAAAGTCCTTGGTGCATAAATATTTTACCCTTTTTTCAGGACAAGGCTGAACTTTCAGTATCTGTAAAGATTTAGAAGTTATTGTGTTTTAAAGTATTCAAAACTGTATGTAATAACTAAATAAATAAATAATACGGATTAGATTTTTCTTCAGACATTTATGAATAAAAATTTTAAATGTACATAAACAAACATTCTGAGATTACATAAATGTGATGTGATGATTTGTTTTATGTACAGCTTTCATTGTGTCAGTTCCAGGAGCTATTTTCTGTCGAGGTCCAGGCGTTTTTAGCTGCTGTGGAAATCTGCAAAGCAGTTCCTGTCCAGCTGTGAACAAAACCCCTTCCTGCACCTTGGGCACATCCACGGAGTGCTTCTTTTGCACAGGAAGCACCTTTTCCTCTCCTGACTTGCCCTCTGAGCTTTATCCATTGCTTCTCCACTACTGCAGGGAACAGGTACGTGACTTTGAGCTGAGGCCACTGGAGAGGTCTCATCAACACCAAACAGCTGTTTGCACAGCTTCTCCTGAAATTCTTGTCATGTCATGGCCACCTTCTGCTGCTTGTTTATTTGTTTGTGAAGAATGTAGCTGTTGGTTGCTGCAGTGTCCAAGCAGTGCTGAAACTTGCCACTGTCACAGGCCATCTCCTTGTTCTTCTGTGCAGGTGTCCACTCCACCCATGTACTTAGTGTACTCCCCCACAGCCGTGGGCCTTGGAATGGACACTCTGCGATACTTCCCATCAGTCTTCTGCCACCGCAGGACCGTCTCCCCTGAATACACAGGATGGACTGTTGTTATCGTGGAGACCTCCCTGGTGTCCTTCCATTTCACAAACAGCAAGTCACCATCCCTGTTCCACCTGATGGAGCCTCTTGGAGACTTTTTGTCCAGGGCATTCTTCTGAGTTTTTGGAACTCCAGTTCTGCTGCCCTGCTGGTGAGTCCCACAAGCCCCAAACTCCTGCTGGCTCAGGTGACGGAACAGGAGAGGACTGCTGTAAAAATGATCACACAATGTACCCACTCCCCAAAAAGTTTTTGTTTACCAACTCTGACACTACATCAAATGACAGGCCGTTTCCTGAAGCTGTGTGGGTCTTTCCTGTGTACAGTTGGAAATCAACCATGTAGCCATTTACATCAGCCAAAACAAAAAAATTTAGCCCCGACTTTGTTGGTTTGGCTTTCATGTACAGATTCAAGGTGAACCTCGCCTTTGTAGCAACCATTCTCTCATCCACAGAGATGTGCTTCTGAGGGTGATAGACCTGCTTGCATCTGGTTCGTATTTCCTCCAGCAGAGCTCTGACCTTTTGCAGGGGATCATATTCTTCTGTTCCTTTCCTTTGCTCATTGGCCAGGTCCTCCTGTGGATCACTCAGGTGGATGTTAGCAGCAATGGCTCTGAACCTGTCTCTGGACATTACTGAAGCTGGGAAAGAAACCTGAAAAATTGTGTTTTTCCTCCAAAAGTCATCCATCTTTGGGAGGTTGCACACCGACATAAAAAACAACAAGCCCGGGTATTTCCTCAGTTCTTGTGGAGTTATGTCATCCCAAACACATTATTTCCTGCTTTCTTTTTGCTTCTTGGCATGTTTGTTTGTGTTTGAACACAAGAGCTTCAGTACCTGTTCATCAAAAAAGTTCTTAAAGAGGTCAGCTGGTGTTGGTAAACTGGTGGTGAGAGGCAGTTGATAGCCAGGGGTCCGTTTGGGCAAGGGCGTCAGTTTGTTTTCAGAATTGCTGGGGACAATAACCATACACTTGAGTGGGGTTTAAAAATTGCTGGGGACAATAAAGTAGGTGTCGGCGGCTCTGTAGCCACATGCGGCTCTTCCATCGGCTCTCTGTGGTTGTAAAATAATGAATGGATATTTAAATAAAAAGCTTTATATTTTACTGCATTAATTTTACATCTGTATGCCAATTCTAAATGTAAAGATTGTCTGTAAACCTGAACACGTCCAACCCGGTCTTACTGTGAGACCGGGTTGACGCGTCACTTTTGTGCGTAATCATAGGCGCTTCCTGAGCTGGAGGATGTCAGATTCTGGGCTTCTCCTCAGACAGGTTCCTGGATGTGTCACCACATTGGAGACAGGAACAAGCGCTATTCAGCCAAAGTTTCATAATCAGGTGTGAGTGTCCTGTCACAGTGTCCCCATCATGCGCCCTGGCTACTTGATCAAGGGGGTGTCCCTTTGGCTGACTGGTTAGAGCGTATGACTCTCACCCGGGAGTCTGGGGATTGAATTCCGCCCGGGCCCTCATTTATCCACCTTGCCACATATTGACGGATAAACTCAAGGATGTTGCTTGGTTTGAAAGAATTACCCCGACGCACACTGATGCGCATGGATGAGCTGACATTTTAATCGTTAACACACATCGCGGAGGTAACTTGATTCCCATCAGAACATCAGAGCTTTATACTGGAGACTGCGTTCAGCACGGCTCGGAGTGCCCACGGTGGACAGTGGGCTGAAGATCTGTAGAGGGATTCGCAGCGCAGTGCAGAACCACGGTGCATGCGATGATTTCCTCCCACTGAAGCGGTCTGGAAACCCGGTCTCTCTGAGGGATGTGTCACTTGGAAAAATGTTCTTTTTATGAAATTATGAAACTTTGGCTGAACAGCGCTTGTTCCCGTCTCTAATATGGAGACGCATGACGCATCCAGTCTGAGGCAGAATAGCCTCTTCAGCTCATAAAACACCTGTAGAGACATTTCATCACGCACAAAGTTTATGTGGAGCAGAAGCGGTCGGGCCACGGCAGGTGAAATGTTCCTGGCCTACATGAAGTGTAACATTAATATGTTACTGGACACGCTGGTCTGGTTGGTTAGACCAGTGTTTGAAGTGGAAAACACACACACACACACACACACACACACACACACACACACACACACACACACACACACACACACACGCGCACACACACGCACACACACACACACACACACACACACACACACACACACACACACACACACACATACAATCTCTCTCTCTCACTCCCATTTCCTTCTTATCTCTTGGTCTAAATAAACTCTGTGACCGGCTGTTCGGGGCATTTTGCCTCGTGCATTATGCCACAGTTATAACTGTTTGGCTTGTTGTTCATTGTCTCCTTTAACTCTCCGACTACAGGGAAATGGGTTATTGATAAATATATTGATAAAATCCATGACAATTCTGTTAAATGGGATGAAGTCCAATCCTTCATAAATGTGTTCCATGTATAGGATTCCTTTACTTTTCCAGTCCGGAAGGTTCATCATTTAGTTATTTTGCAAAATATCAGGATTATTCCAGATAGGTGTGCATCTGCATGGTATTAGTGAAGACTGTGTCATTTTTAGATACTCCCACCATGCTGCCAGAGAGGTGCTGATATTAATACTTTTGAAGCCTTCATGTTTTCTTATGCTTGAGCTTATAAATGGTTAGTCTGAAAGCTCTATCGTGGTATTTCATATTTATATGGAATTATCACATCTTATTGGTCATTTGTAATAAATTTAGTCAATCCTTAACTCTACATATTAATGGCGACCCAATCCAGTCTTTTCAAATCATAACATTTCATGTAAGTTCATATTACTAAAGTTAAAATTCTCGTTTTCTGGGTTTCTGTTCTGTTTAAACGAGATGGGGCTGCCGTCTCATCTCCTCTCCTTCTTATCAGCTAGCCAACGTGAAGCTGACTCCTCACATAACCAAGACTGTATCAGCTCTAAGCATCTGCTTTCAAGTTTATTTACCTTCAAAAGGGAGTGAATGTGTTCATTTGTCCATTTATTTGTGCTTTTTGTCACTTCTGTGTTCTGCTTGTGTAACTGGTAATAGAGTAATTCTCTAAACCCAACGTTACCAAAAAGCTAAAATCCTAACTGGGCCTGATCACTCTTGCTCTGCTGAGGCATAATTCCAGCGAAGCAAACACGTCTCACAGTTCAATTTCCTGATCCACTCAGGTTCAGACGTTGGTTCTGATCCAGGCCATGGGTGACCCTACCATACGCATTAAGCCTCACACCGGTTTCACACTAGAAGCATCGGCGGCGCGAAACAGCAGCGGATGGTTTACTTGCAAACTTCAAAGTGGTGCTTTTCATACCAGGAGAGTCTTGGCAGTGGCACGGCTTCCTCGCTGTGCTCTTTGCTGGACTCGTGAGATCACATGATCCCTCGAGACCTCAGATCACGGTTTGTTTATGCAATCCTCCATTAAACCAAAAAGAAGGAAATCACATTTGATATCGCTGTTTGATGACATAGATGATGTTGTTCCTCTCCACTGCCAGGAATAAAGCCATGAAAAACACACCACTGCCATGTGAAGTGCCTTGAGATGACTCTTGTCATGATTTAGCGCTATATAAATAAACTTGAAATGAATTGAATTGAATCTGAAATAAATTGTGAATTTTGGGTGTAAAAGAATTTGTTGTCTGCTATAAACTAGAGAG